ATGCACATCAGCTCCTGTTTAGCTCTCATAGATGTGTCTCTGCATTTGTAGTTTTCTTCCATTTTTTAAAAAAGGTCATTATTTCTTCTAGTCCCATTCCTGCAGGAACTTAGATTACAGTTGGATGGACCCATTAAAGTAGTTCCACAGTTCCTTGATGCTTACTCTTGTTTTCGGATTCTTTTTCTCTCTGTATGTTTCCTTTTGGATAGTCTCACTGGCTTGTCTGTAAGTTCACTAATGTCTTGTACATTATCTGATGTTCCATTAACCTCATCCAGAGGTGGGGAAGCTTTTTTCTGCCAAGGGACATTGGGATATTTACAATATCATTTGTGGGCCATATGAAATTACCAGTAAAAACACACAGCAGTGGGAAGCTGACGCACCAAATGACTTCCTCCGCCTTCAACAGGGAACGGTCCATACCAGTGGCCACTGCATCTGCACATTCAACAAAACATGCATTAAAAAGATTGAAAAAATAGTGCGTGTACTTAACCTGTACAGACTTGTTCTTATTTTTAATCCCCCAAATGATTATATATTACAGCCTTAATAAAGCATTTGCATAATACTAGCTATCATAAGTTATTGAGAGATGAGTTAAAGAGCATGGGAAGACCTAGATAGGTTACATACAAATATGATGTTTTCACAGAAAATCCTTTGATCTAAAAAACTCGAGCACTAACTAGTCAATTGTGGTGCCCACAGGGGTTTCTGGAACTAATTTTCCATACATGCTGAGGATCATCGATAGTATGTTTTTCATTGCAGAAAGGACAAATCAGGAATAGTCATGAGGCTCACTTTACTTATCTCCAGTTTCCTAAGGAATTGCCACCGATTGTTATGTAATATTGAAAGTTGTGAAAATTGTTATTTCATAAACTTTTTGTCAAATTTTGATTACTTCATTCTGGAGGATGTATTTAATTAGTTACTTCATCTTAATCAAGAGAAAACATGTTGTCTGTTCCCTTAATATCACTCGATAGAGTAGGGGCTTAAGGTGAGTGATGAAAGTGGAAAGAGAAGGAAGAACTCAGGATCCATACACAGACATCACCATAATACATTTATTCAGGGTTTACCATCTGCCAGACACTGAGACTAGTTGGTAGCTTGGTTAAGTTGGTCATGATGTAGACAGTGACAACTGATTGGATACAGATACTCTTTACATGTGACAAGCAGATGAGTGTGGGACAAACAGGGGAAGATCAAGAACTCAGTTTTACACAAACTAATTCTGTGGTTCCTAATCACAATGCAAATGGTTATTCCAAGGTAAAGTGGAGTCCAATATAAGTTTGCAAGTCATCAGCATCTGGATGTGTTTTAAGGGATGACACTGGGGATAAAATGGAGAAGAGAGAACACAAGTGAGCAATTCAAGCAATGAGTTCAGGACCCTGCAATTTTTCGTTGGAAAGAGGAGAAGGCTTCTTCACAGAACACTGAGAGGGAGTGGCCAGTGAGGGAGGAAGAGAATGAAGAGTAGAAGCCATTGTTTCAAGGACAGGGTGAGAAAGCAAATGGAACAGGAAGTGAGAAGTGTCAAGAAACATGACAGTCTTGGTGGTCTCTTATTCTATCTCGGAGCAAGTCTGACATCAGAGACCCTGCCAGAATCCTGTCTTTAGCCTATTTCCAATGACCTGGTCCTCAACAGGTGGTTGGCTTGGAATTGTGCATGGAACAGAACTCTGAGCAGCACTGACATTTGCGTGAGATGTAAAATGTAACTTGGAGTTTTGGCTGTATGTTTAACAGGGCCCTTCTCTCTTAAGTGTTAACATATACTTCCAACTCAGGTTCAAAGGACTCATTGGGCAAGGCTTTTGTTTGTGTAAAGTCCTAATCAGATTAATAACTCAGTGCTTGCCCAATAAGTCCCTTGAACACACAGCCAAGGATATCATGACTGAAGATGAGCTTTTTATGGAATTGTCATGTTTTAATTTATGCTTGAGAGCCACCTTCCTTGAATATATCATTCTCCATCTAGGCTCTCTGACCATCTCTGTATGACTTGTTGTCTTGCTTGTCATGTCTGGTTTTGACCTCACTCTATTGGTTTGACTTATGCATCCCTGAAGTAGCTATTAAAAATTTTCTGATCTCGGGGCTGAGAAGGTAGCTCAGTGGTAGAGTGTTTGCCTTGCATGCATGATGCCCTGGGTTCGATTCCTCAGCACCACAGAAGCAGAAAATGCTGAAAGTGGTATCATGGATCAAGTGGTAGAGCGCTAGCCTTTAGTTGAAGAGCTGAGGGACAGTGCCCAGGCCCAGAGCTCAGGCCCCACAACTGACAAAAAAAGAAATCTTCTGATCTCCTGCCAAGTGTGCACCTACCGCAACCTGGGACCTCGCACTTCCCCTGCACCTCACTGGATCCCCACCTCCACAGAAAATGTCCTCCATCCCCCTTCCTCTAGCCCGTTCCTCAGGAATCACTCCACATGCTCTCGGCAAGTCATGGGCTCTAGCCTCCAGTGCAGGTGATTATTAGCACAAATACTTTCCTTTTCTACTAAGTCCCTTGTCAAAAATCTTTAGACTTACTTTATTATCCCCTTGATGTAAAAATTATAGCAATAGCCACACAGAATGTAACTGATGCCCACAGACTCCTTCACTTCCCAGCATTATCTCTATCAGTTCCTGGCCAATCGCACAGAGATAGCCACGTGTTCTAGCTCACGCCTCTCATCTCCCACTGCTGATCCTGAGCCCTGTGAAATGTATCATCTTTTACCAGTACCCCGTGACGCTGTGTTGATGAGATGAGCACTGAAGTCTTCATTGTTCTATCCCATGGCTTGTATCAGCTCCCATATCAGAAGTTGTGATTATGGGGTTCTCTAGGCAACTTTATCTTCCTGCCTTAGGACCGGGGAGGGCCTGATCTTAATAAACTGTTCCCTTCCTGAAGCTCTCCCTTCCTTGGGAATGCTTCTTTCATTATTCCTGCACTTACTCAGCATTTTGTGCTATCTGTTACTTGTGACTCTGCCCATGATGACATCCATGAGTCCCCTCTAGTGCAGGTCCCAGGAAATGGCAGCTCAGCTGGAGTATGCTGCAGCAAGCTTAGAAGGCTGTGATGAAAGCCGCAGACCAGGCCTCTGCCTTTAGGACAGAGCATACATGGACAGACGCTTGACACTTTGTTGAGGAAAGTCAGCCTGGGAAAGGGCCTGTTTGAATGTAATCAAGGAAGCAAAGAGTTATGATTGCCATTCAGATTTCTGACTTGAGTGACTAGGGAAGGGGATAAGGTTCTTTGTGAAGTAGGGAAATTGGAACCGAAGCCCATTTGACAAATTTTATGTCAAACTCAGTTTTAAACATGTTGTCTTTGAGGGTCTGGGCTATCTCAAAGGAAATATCCAGTAGAAATATCTGGCAGGTGGGTGTGTGTGGGGGAAACATGGGCAGGGAGCTGGGGAGAGACTACTAGTATGAGTTCTTATCCCCTTGATGTGAAAATTATAACTAAAACCTGAGAGTAGAAATTTCTTGGAAAGAGCATGCCCATGAGAACCACTGGTAGGACTGTGGTTTAGGACTGGGTGAGACAAGGGATAGCTGTCTGCTTGCGCTCGTTCCCTAACAAGTAGCCCACAGGGGAAATCTTTGATGAAGGCGAATATGTAAGAGTGGACAGCCACCATGAGGTGAAGCCAGTTTCAGAGGAGGGCTTGCTCCTGGTGAAGAGGGTGTAGGGATCTGAGGGAGGAACTAGTTTTGGGGGCCAAGGCCAAGGGAGGGTTGGAATGAATCACATCATACAGAGCTGGCTGGATCGTGAGTCTCAGCTTCTTTTGCTTTGTAAACTTGGACTTCAACACTATCTTTTCTTTGTATCAGTCCTGGGATTTGAACTGAACTCCTGAGCCCTGTCCCTGAGCTTCTTTTTGTTTAAGGTTAGTGCTCTACCACTTGAGCCACAGCACCACTTGTGGCTTTTTGTGAATAATTTATTGGAAATAAGAGTCTCACGGACTTTTCTGCCCGGGCTGGCTTCAAACTGCAATTGTAAGCTCTCAGTCTCCAGAGTAGCTAAGATTACAGGCATGAGCCACATCAGCACCCAGCTCAGCACTATGTTTTTAGGAGGCCAACTCTGAAACTCTGATCAGTGTGAGTGGCCTTGGCTTTGTTTGTCTTGCCTGGAACTTTCTGTCTCCATGCTCTGGTCCCTCTAGGGACAAAGCGGTGACTTGTAAATGCTGGTACTTTTCCCTCAGGTGCCCTCATTAACATCCTGATGCCACTCTCCCGCTGAGAGCACCAGGAGAGTATCACTGAGGCTGCTTGACGTGACTGCTATTGCCATGGTGACGGCTTTGAGGAGCTGGAACAAGCTTGCAGCACAGGGGGAAGGGGAGATGGCTTGGACTCCAGGAACAGCTTTGGTACTGTGACTCTGTGAGTCAGCAGGAATAGGCCTGGAAAATGTAAGGGCACGGTGACCATCTGTGTGCACACCTGCTGAGGAGCACGCTGAGGAGCGCCAGCAGGGAACATCCTCTCTGCGCATCTCTTGTCCCACGCTCCCTGACTCTGAAAAGAGATCCCGTGCAATGCAGCTTTGTTTTCCTCTTCTGCAATGTTCTTTCTTAGATTGATCTTGTTCCATCTGCTCAATCCTCTAGTGTTGGGGGCAAATCTCAGAATCCGCAGGTATTTCTGGGGCAGTACGGGGCAGGAGGACTTGGCATTGTTTCACTGTATGTATGTAAGAGCCAAGAAAAATGACTGCACTGGCCATCTTCATATGTCATATACAATGAAAGTAATGCTAAACTACAAAAGAAACAACGGTTTCGTTTCCTTTACTGTGCACATGAACTATCACAGCCAGCTGAGCAGTGATTCTATTCTTACTCTGCTCAGCAATAGCCCTCCTGCCCTCTATGAGTACTAGGGTCTTCTATGACCTTCTTTGGTCATCTGTCTGGCAGGTGAGTCTTGACTGTACATGGAGGATGACTGAAAAAACCAATGGTGTGAAGAGCTCTCCAGCCAATAACCACAACCACCATGCACCTCCTGCCGTCAAGGCAAATGGCAAAGATGACCCCCGGACAGGCAGCAGGTGAGTCCACTCAGGCTAAGTAATTTCAGAGATAATCCCCAAACTGCTACTTCCTCCCATCTATGTTTCATTGTCGAAGAATAAGCTACCATTGGCTCTAGAATCTCCTCTAAATGAACTATGGGATTTCTAAGCATGTCCCAGGAGGTAAGACAAGACAAGCTCAGAGAATCCTGGGTACAATTCTGTTCCTTTGCAGGCCACAGTCTGCAGCTGACGATGACACCTCATCAGAACTTCAGAGGCTGGCAGAGATGGATACCCCTCGAAGGGGGAGGGGTGGCTTTCGAAGGTGAGTGCCCCCCGCCACTGACCTTCTGGTACCCCTTGTGTCCATAAGACCTGTCAGGATGATTGCCGTGGCTCTGAGCTTCTCAACCCCTCTAGGCCTTTCTATAAGACCCTGGACAGAGTACATATAAGGCAAGCTGAGAGTGGCCAAAGGACATTTCCCTTCCCTTGTAGAAGAGCCTGGATAGAGGCCAGAGGTACCCATCACAGAATCACAGGCTCCATGGAAAGTCAGAAAATACGAGACAACCTTCATTGTGGTCTGCCTTGCCTTAGTAGGATCTCTCCCTGCTTCCTGTCCTGAAGATCTCCTATTTCTTCTTCCCAATTACCTTATATAGCTGATATCACCTTACACAGAAAATCTTCTCATACCTTCATCCACAGGATGCACTTCAGGTCATTTAAGCCCTGTCTGCTCCCTTCAAGCCCAGCTTTTAGCACCCAGGAAACCATGATCAGGCCTATTTCTATATTTCCCTCATCATTTTCCCTCTCCCTCAATGGACAGTGAGCTCTCTGGGGCTTCTTCTGTCTGCCTCATGCTCCTTGTTTCTGGCTTTTAGGATTGTCCGTCTAGTGGGGGTCATCAGAGAGTGGGCCAACAAGAACTTCCGTGAAGAGGAACCTCGGCCAGACTCATTTCTCGAGCGTTTTCGTGGGCCTGAACTCCAAACCGTGACAACCCAGCAGGGAGATGGCAAAGGCGAAAAGGATGGCGATGGAAAGGGCACTAAGTACAGCTGTTCAGCCTCTGGGGTTCAAAAGGCTCCCAAACATGCAATGGGAGGGCTCAGCGGGGCTTCTAATAACAGTGCCAGGAGTAATGCTATACTCCATCTTAGTGGAGAAAGGGCTTCAACGCTGCTACAGCAGTCAATGCTGTCATCTCCATGAATGCTTTTAGTGGCTTTTCTTAACTTAGCTTCCACTTGTCAGAGGTTCTCTTACTGCTCATGAAGTGAATGTGGGCAAGGAGGGGGCTCAGGCAAGGCTGTGCTACCTCCAGCCTCAGATCTAGTGCTGATCAGAGAGGGTACAATCAAGAAGTGCTATTGAGCTGGCTCCCGGTGACTCAGGCTTGTAATCTTAGCTACTCAGGAGGCTGAGATCTCAGGATCACGGTTCACAGCCAGGCCGGGCAGGAAAGTCTGTGAGATTCTTATCTTCAATTAACCACCAGAAAAATTGGAAGTGTTGTAGTGGCTTAAGTGGTAGAGCACTGGCCTTGAGCTGAAGAGCTGAAGGACAATGCCCAGGCCCAGAGTTCAAGCCCCACGACAAACCAGAAAAAAAGAAGTGCTGCTGAAGCATGCCTGTTCTAGCTGGACTGTGACCAAGGCAAGGGATTTTTGAAGAATCCATACAGGGAGCTGGAGGGGGAGACCCAGGTCATTGAGCAGAAGAGTGCTGGAGAGCAGAGAAGGCAGAGCGAGAGAGCCTGTGTTTTGAGGAATATGTGTGACTGCAGCTGTCTGGCCAAGCTGACAGTCCTTCCCTCTGGCCAGTGAAGGGAAAGGGCTCTTGGCAAGGTGAGACTCAACATCTGGGAAAGCAATTTGGAAGATGGAGGCCAAGGACCAGAAAGGGAGGGTGCAGTGGGCAGGAAACACATGTTGCTCGCTCGCCTGGAGTTTCTTTCTCTTCCCAGGAGAGATGTGGCAATAGGCCAAAGCTTGCATTACCATCCTGTGGTAATCTCTCCCCAAACTCTGAGGCTCATCTGTGCATATGCCCTGTATGCAAGGGGCCTCCAGAGGGAAAAGGACCCAATGGGCCTCTTTGTGGTCAGAATGGGAAGAAGAGTAGCCTTTGTCCATCAGATGCCTGGTACCAGACTGTGGGTAAATGAAAAATGGAACCCTAAGCCACTCACTACATACATCTGTTTAATCAGTATTTTGTTATTGGGGGGGGGGAACTCTTAGTTCTAGAAGCTAAAACTCTAAGGGACCTGGTCCCTAAGACTGGCCTCTGTGTCCTCAGGAAGAAATTTGAGCTGTTTGTCTTGGATCCAGCTGGAGACTGGTACTACCGCTGGCTGCTTGTCATCGCTATACCGGTCCTGTACAACTGGTGCCTGCTGGTGGCCAGGTGAGCAGGGAGGAGTGTGCAAGGGGTGGCCACAGCATTCCAATGCTCAGGTTGTGCTATTCACACCATACCAGTCCAGAAGCAATTGCTATTTTCTCTGACCGTCAAGTCTCTTCTATCTTACCTGTTAACCCCAACCTTTCTCATCATTGAATACACCAAGCCTTCATGTCTGTCCATTTCCTGGTGGCAGTGGTTACTTTTTTTGTCAGTCGTGGGGCTTGAACTTTGGGCCTGGGTACTGTCCCTCAGCTGTTCAGCTCAAGGCGAGTGCTCTACCACTTGAGCCACAGCACCACTTCTGGTTTTCTGGGGGTTCATTGGAGATAAGAGTCTCATGGACTTTCTTGCTCAGGCTGGTTTTGAACTGTGATCCTGAGAGCTCAGCCTCCTAACTAGGATTACAGATGTGAGCCACCGGCACCTGGCTCTGTTGTTACTTTTAAAAATGCATATCCTTATTGTCCTGAGCAAGGCCCCCCTGGGAAAGCAACAGCAACCCCGCACTCATGTCTCTTCTAGTACATCTGTCACTCTTACAACTGATGTGCCTAGTAGAAACTGGGGTTTGGTGATGCCACTTTATCTCCAAAAGCCTGTCAGTAGCTTCCTGTTTTCTGAAGCTTGGGCTGGGAAGGTGGCTCAGTGGTAGAGCGTTTGCCTTGCATGCCTGAGGCCCTGGGTTCAATTCCTCAGCATCACATAAGCAAAAAGAAAAAAGCCAGAAGTGGCACTGTGGCTCAAGTGGTAGAGCACTAGCCTTGAGCTGAAGAGCTGAGGGATAGCGCCCAGGCCCAGATTTCAGGCCATATGACTGGACCCCCCCAAAAATAATAAAAAATAAAAAGTTGAAGCTCTGAGGATAGCATCCAAGTGTTCTGAGGCTTGGTCTTCCCACATGCCGACAGCATTTGCCACACTACTCTAACCTTACCCCAGTCCTTTGACACCAAGGATTTGACCCATGGGATGCTAGGCTTTGTGCTCACTGCTGGGGAGAGTAGATTGACAAGAGAGGCATGATTTCCATATTGGTCACATGAAGATCACATGGTAGACTGAACATAAACATAAGGATAACAAATGACCTATCACTTGATCAACGCCCCCAGCCCTTTAATTGTTTTTTTTTTCTGCTTATGTGGTCCTGAGGAATCGAACCCAGGGCCTCAGGCATGCAAGGCAAGCGCTCTACCACTGAGCCACCTTAAGCAGGACCTTGCATTTTATTTCGACCTAGTTGGTCTGGACTGCAATCTCTGTCCTGCAGAGCTGTGCTGGCAGGCAAATGCCATAGTATCTAACTATTGGCTAAGATGGGATCTCAATAACTGCCTGGGCTGGCCTCAAACCACGATCCTCTGGATCTCTGTCTCCTGAGTATCTGCAATTATAAGCATGATATCACTGTACCTTGGTGGAGTGGGACTCTAAATGTGACCACTCTGTTGGGCATGTATAGGATCTCTATCCAGATGTCCATGCCTTACTCAGCACCATCTTTTCTAGGCCTTAACTATTCACTCAGCAAGTCCTGTTAAATCTTTGTACAAAGCTCTGGCATTTTCCACCCTTTATTCTCACTGCTTCTAGCCCAAGCCCAGCTATTACCCACACTATGGCCTGATTGGCTGAAGTTGCATGCCTGGTTCTCAGTGGATGTACATAGAAGTGATGAACATGGAAAGTATTCAACTGTTCTTCTAATGCCTTGTTCATGCATTCAATTCATGCCACTGGCCACAGAGCCCTTGTATCTTGGTACCTGCCTTTCTGGATCTAACAGTATAATGGTCAAGGCAGACAAACAATTGTCACTGGTGATGCATGTGTAGTGATTCTTACATAATGATAAAGGTTTGCATAAAAGTCTAGTCAATAGTATCTTCTTGGAACCAAATTAAATATGTTCACCAAGTTGGGCACCGGTGGCTCACGTCTGTAATCCTAGCTACTCAGGAGGCTGAGATCTGAGGATCACAGTTCAAAGCCAGCCCGGGGAATGAAAGTCCATGAGACTCTTTTCTCCAATAAACTACTTAGAAAACAGGAAGTGGAGCAGTGGCTCAAGTGGTGGCGTGTTAACCTTGAGCTGAAGAGGTGAGGGACAGTATCTAGGCCCAGAATTCAAGCCCTATGATCTACAAAAAAAAGCTCACCAGTGCCCCTTGTGGTCATCTTGAGTGTTGTATAAGTAGGTAGTCAACTTAGGGCTTCTGGGAACCTTGCCTTGCATTGAAGGTGAAACCAGTCCTATCCTCCTGCAGAGCCTGCTTCAGTGACCTACAAAGAAGCTACTTTGTGGTGTGGCTGGTGTTGGACTATTTTTCCGATGTGGTTTATATTGCCGACCTCTTCATCCGATTACGCACAGGTGAGTGAAAGTTGGGCTGTACAAGCAACTGTATGAGCTCCAATTCCAAAGCTTTTAGTTCAGATGTTCATTAAAGCTATGGGACATGATGTTGAACATACTTTCTCCGCTGGGACTCTGATAAAAGTTGTGATCTTTTTTTTTTGGGTCCGGTCTTGGGGCCTGAACTCTGGGCCTGGGCACTGTCCCTCAGCTCTTCAGCTCAAGGCTAGCGCTCTACCACTTGAGCCACAGCGCCACTTCTGGCTTTGTTTTCTTTTTGCTTATGTGGTGCTGAGGAATTGAACCCAGGGCCTCAGGCATGCAAGGCAAGCACTCTACCACTGAGCCACCTTCCCAGCCCAAAAGTTGTGATCTTACATCCTTAAACTGGTGAAGATCCGTGTTGGTCTCTTAGGGCCTTTCTGGCCAGTACTTCTTTGTGAAGGGAATCCAAACTGACTGGCTATTATTAAGCCCTTATTCCTCCTTGAGAAGAAGGGCTATATGAGCAGTTTATTTCTTGATAAGCATTTTATATAGGATGGGCCTGAAGGCAGAGGTGACATACTAGCTTGTGTCTCTATCAGGTTTCCTAGAGCAAGGACTGTTGGTTAAAGATCCCAAGAAACTTCGAGACAACTACATCCACACATTGCAGTTCAAGCTGGATGTGGCATCCATCATCCCTACTGACCTGATTTATTTTGCCGTGGGCATCCACAGCCCTGAGGTGCGCTTCAACCGCCTGCTACACTTTGCCCGCATGTTTGAGTTTTTTGACCGCACTGAGACTCGCACCAGCTACCCCAACATCTTTCGAATTAGCAACCTGGTCCTCTATATTTTGGTCATCATTCACTGGAATGCTTGCATCTATTATGCCATCTCCAAGTCCATTGGCTTTGGGGTTGACACCTGGGTTTATCCCAACATCACTGACCCTGAGTATGGCTACCTGGCAAGGGAATACATCTACTGCCTTTACTGGTCCACACTGACCCTCACTACCATCGGGGAGACACCACCCCCTGTAAAGGATGAGGAATACCTCTTTGTCATCTTTGACTTCCTGATTGGAGTCCTCATCTTCGCTACCATCGTTGGAAATGTGGGCTCCATGATCTCCAACATGAATGCCACCCGGGCAGAGTTCCAGGCCAAGATTGATGCAGTCAAACACTACATGCACTTCCGTAAGGTCAGTAAGGAGATGGAGGCCAAGGTCATTAAGTGGTTTGATTACCTGTGGACCAATAAGAAATCAGTGGATGAGCGGGAAGTTCTCAAGAACCTGCCCGCCAAGCTCAGAGCTGAGATTGCCATCAATGTCCACCTGTCCACACTGAAGAAAGTGCGGATCTTCCAGGATTGTGAGGCAGGTCTGCTGGTGGAGCTCGTACTGAAGCTTCGTCCTCAGGTCTTTAGCCCTGGAGATTACATTTGCCGCAAGGGGGACATTGGCAAGGAGATGTACATCATCAAGGAGGGCAAGTTAGCAGTCGTGGCCGATGACGGTGTGACCCAGTATGCCTTGCTGTCGGCTGGGAGCTGCTTTGGAGAAATCAGTATCCTTAACATTAAAGGGAGCAAAATGGGGAATCGACGCACAGCCAATATCCGTAGCCTGGGTTACTCAGATCTCTTCTGCTTGTCCAAGGATGATCTCATGGAGGCTGTGACGGAGTACCCGGATGCTAAGAAGGTCTTAGAGGAGAGGGGTCGGGAGATCCTCATGAAAGAAGGACTGCTGGATGAGAATGAGGTGGCCGCCACCATGGAGGTGGATGTGCAGGAGAAGCTGGAGCAGTTGGAGACCAACATGGAGACCCTGTACACTCGCTTTGGGCGCCTGCTGGCTGAGTACACGGGAGCCCAGCAAAAGCTCAAGCAACGCATCACGATTCTGGAGGTGAAGATGAAAGAAAACCACGAGGACGACTACCTGTCAGACGGCATGAACAGCCCAGAGCCTGCTGCTGATGAGCAGCCCTAAGCACTGGGCCCAGTGGCCCCTCTGGCCTTGCCTGGACACCAAGAGCTGAAAGAGCTGTTGTAGATCTCCAGATAGATCCGCATTACCCTCTTATACCTCTGAATTCTCCTCAGAGCCTTTCAGAAGCTCAAGATTTTGGCCTTAACGTCTAGGAGTCCCGCTCTGAGTGTAGCTAACAGCCAGGTTCATGGACACGCCCCCTGTGTTAAATGGGCTTCTTAGGAGCTCCAGCCTGCTCACATTGGATAAAGGAAAAGAACAGCAGAACTGCTCTGCAGGGGTCTGCCAAGGACTGGAAGCCTGGGCAATGCACCCCAATGCCCTTCTGGATCCTTCATGCCCAGCCGCTCTGTATTTGGATCTGGCCCCTACTTCTTCTAACATGTCTTCTGAGCACCCACTTCCTTTTACATAAAGGTATTCAAGAGTCAGCTGAAGACATGGAACCAGGAACCCAAAGATTGTCTCCCACAGCAAGCAAAGTGGCATGCGGGGTGGGAGTGGGGGTAGGGGGTAATCTGGAGGGTGGTCATGGGAATCTCCCTCTTTGTCAGGCAAAACCACCAGAAAAAGGAGGAAGCCGGCAGTACTATCAAGAGCACTTCTAAAGACATGAAGACTGGGGGGCTGGGGAGTACGGGGACTCTTCAAGTGAATATGTACATTAGAGCCACTTATGAGTTAATAAACTCCTTTCAAACACTCCTGTTTATTGCTCAACCCCGATTCTAACAATCACTCTCTCTCCCTGTTGGTCGCTGCCTTTTCTTCCTATCTCTACCCCACCCCCAAGATTAAATCCAGCATATACTCTGCCCTCTTCTCGGCCTGCCTAAAATCTACTGATCTTTGGGCAACTTAGTGCGGGTACCGGATCCTTGGAGAACTTTTCCTTTGCTTATACACACCCGCTCCCCTACTAAATATTCAGGCTCCTATGCTGCTCAAGGTCCTTTCTATTCTGGCTCTTCTTACACTAAGTAGTGGCACTGGAAAGATGAAAGTAGCCTTCCAGATTGTGGGCTCCTTGAGACCAAGGCCAAAGCACTCTTTCTTACCACATTTCGGCTGCAGCCATGTATGGTATAGGCAATGTTGATTCACTAAGGGAGTAAATGCAACATAAGTCACTGAATGAGTGAATGTATGATCAGAGCAAAACTCCCATAATTCCCCTTGGCAGCTGCATATGTTGAGGGAAACACTAGCCTTGCCTGGAGGAGGACGTATTTGACCCAGGTATTTCCAGATGATCAGGAATTTGATGGTCAGGTGCTGGGCATCAGCTTCAATGCCTTCATGTTCATGTGCAGCATTCATGCATTCATTCATTCACTGTGGTAACATACTTTCATGTTACAAAACTGAAATTCTATGCCCTGCAAACCACTCTCCATTTGTCCCTCCCCTACAGCTTTTAACAGCCGTCTTTGTATTTTGTTATTTCTGAACAGCATTATGCTAGGGAGTTTGTGTACGTGGAATCATGCAGGATTTGTATTTTGTTTCTGGTTCATTTTACTTAGCACCATATCGTCAAAATTTATCTATGCTGTAGCACTTCTCAAAATTGTTTACTTTTTGAAAGACTGAGTAATATTCCACTGTATGGGTATACACATTTTTTCTAATTCCTTTTCCTATCAATAAAATTGGGTACGTTTCTACCATTTGCCTTTTTACACACTCCTGCTATTACATGGGTGTGCAAATACCTCTTTGAGATCCTGTTTTTAGTTCTTTTGGAATATATGGAAAAGTAGAGTTGTTAGATCATATGCTAATTTTAGTTTTAACTTTTGAGAAACAGCCATATTTTCCAATTTTCCAATTTCTCTATCCTCACCAAAATGAGTTATTTTTCTGTGTTTTTTGGACTGTAGCCTTCCTAACTGGAATGAGATTATGCCTTATTTTTGTTTAATTTTACATTTCTCCAAGTTGTAATTCTGAGCACACTTTCATGTGCTTGTCAGCCTCCTTCATATCTTATTTAGAGAAATGACTTTGTTTTTAATACCAGTCCTGGGGCTTGAACTCAGAGCCTGCATAGTGTCTCTGAGCATTTTGCTCAAGGCTAGTGCTCTACCAGTGAGTGAATGATTCACTTCTGGTTTTCTGATCACTAGCTAGAGATGAGTCTCACAGACGTTCCTTCCCAGGCTAGTTTCCTGGGTAGCTAGGATTGCAGGTATGAGCCACTGGAGTCCAGCTGGAGAAATGACTTTTTATTTAGCCATGTTCAATTGAGTTGTCGAGTTCTAAGTATGCATTATATAGTATGCTCATTAACTTTATCTGATTTGCAATTGTTTCCCATTCGACGAGTCGACTTCTATTTCATTAACTGTGCTCGTGGAGGCATAGAAGTTTTAAATTTTATTGTCATACAGTTTGTGTACATTTTAACTTTTGTTGTCTGCTATTTTGTGTGGCCATTAATTTTCATGTGCATTCATTCTTGTAGTAGCTATACTTCTGTTTAACTTAGTGTAAATTCTTCTCCACTTCCTACCTGACAAGACTGTCTTGAGTAGGACTAACCTCATCTGGAGCGATGTGTAACATTACCCCTGCTCAGGTCCTGGTCTCTGGGAGTAGCAGCTGTGAGGCTGCGGCATTCACAATAGGACAGAGCTCTGTCATACTCTCCCTGTAAGTATAAGGTTGAAAGAAAAAAAACCTCTAAACCTTTTTTGGCTTAAGAAAAGTCTAGCCAAGAGAGGAATCCTTGGAGACTCAGCCAGCTGCTTGCCAAGATGGTTGTTGCTAAAACTGCACTAAAGAGTTCATTTTTCACTAAGAGCTGGAACCTGGACAAGATGTCATCTGTGCAAACTAGCATGACAGTTTCACCAGCGGCAAGGGGATGACTACTTTGAACATGTTTGCTTAAGTTTCAGCAAGAAATCTGTAATATCTCACTTTACAGTCTACCCTTAGGCCATCTCAATAGGTGTCTGATTTCCAGCTCACAGCATGGGACAGAGATGTAGAATCCTTCTAAAAAAACACCATCAATTATTTGCACAAGGGGATTTCATTTTGACCTGCCCATGTTCACATACAATGTACCTTGATCAGACTCACTCTATCCATCGCTTTCTTTCATTCTCCTTCCCCTGCTTCCAAAACAATCTCTACAGAATTCATTGCTCCATTTGAACACATAGACATCTTGGTTTTCACTATAGAGTCTGAATCACCAGTACCTGGAGACAGTATCTATATCTGACCAGTCTCCACCCATCTCCTCTTGTTTTGTCTCTCACCACCAAGAAGTCTTTTTCTGTCTGGCATTGGCCATGGCTACCACCTTTCCTATAGCTGGCTGTGATATAAGAAATGAGATTCACTTTGCATTATGTACATGTCAGTGCTCTCCAATCTTATCTAAAACAATATTGAAACTGGAATCTGTCTTATTTTCCTGTTAGGATGGCCACTGAAGGAAAAATGCTTTTGTATATGACCACCCTTTCATTTTTCTGCACTAATGACCTTGTCTAAAAGACCAAACCATGTTGCTGCCTCCCCCTGCTCTCCTTCTCTTTTTGGTCCGACTTGTGGTGGTCCTTGCTTGAGTTCAGCTGAACCCCCATTTTGGCTTTATCTGAGTTCCAACTTCAGTAGTGTTTATTTCTCATTCTGGAGCTTAAAGCTAGCCTGTCATCTTGGGTGGAGACCTGAAAGCCCTAATAGCACAGAAAAGCACCCAGCCACCAGAGGGCGCGTGGACATCAGGAAAGTGGGTGGGCTGTCCTCTAAACCTCCATCATCACTACCACTACCACCACCACCATGAAAGCAAGTACAGGTGACAGTTAGGTGGTTGCCTCTAGGACCTAGTTTAACTGTTGGGCCAATATCTTTCCCACAATGCTTCACAGGAGTCCTTTCACATGCCCTCAGAGTTTCCTTGGTGGCAAGGGCAACATCCAGTCCAAGTCTGTATGTCTATCTAGATGTTCAGACCCTACTAGAGTTTGAGGGAAGAGGAAATGGTAGAGTTGAATTGTAAGGAATCCTGACAGAAGACTATGGTTGCCATTTATTTATGATTTTATTAAAAAAAAGCCCTATTGGTCTATAAAATTATTACTGAAATATTTGGTCTCATGGCAAATGAAGATAGGCCCCAGATGATAGTATATATCCAATAGCTATCTGATACCTGAACACTACAAAATTAACATCATCCCAACTCACCACTTGATTGTTTTTCTCTCAGCCAGGCACTTCTCCCCCGTATCTCCCCCATATGAGCAATGGCACACTGGTCACCCCAAACTCACTGAAATCACCCTGAACTCTTCTTTTTGCATCATCTGCAACATCCAATTAATCAGGAAATACCTTATGCTTAGCTTCCTAAGTATAATCAGAATCCATACATCTCTCTTACCTCCACTTCCCCTGTCCTGGCCCAGACCACCACTAGCTTTCTCTTGAGCGTGTGCAATTGCCTTCAGAGTGCTGTCTTAGCTCTGTCCTTGGCCCGTGCATTCTCTTGTTCACCTAGTCACTAGAATATTTTGAACAGGAAAATTATATTCTCTCAGTCCTGTACCTAAACCTACCAGTAGATTGTAACATGCTTCTCACCTTTTCAAGCCCTCTATAACATCACCTCTTCTCTAAAGCTTTCTTTGCTCTTCTGTAAGAACATGTATGGTTCTAATCCCCAGTGGCCATCTGTGAGTTTCTTGCCCCTTGTTCCTTAAAGACAGGCCTGTGTGCCTGTGTGAGATATGTCTTGGCCACCTGTAGTCAAAGTTATTGTGTTCTCTGTGTGTAAGGGAGGGGGTGTTTATACATTCCATCCCTGGAAGGTGGTTCTAAAAGCAGAACAGAGATCTTAGTCAGCATACATTGGCTCCCCATTGCTTTCCATCAGGAGGAATATTGTGCTATAGTAGCTGTGGCTTCAGTTACAATCCCTTGCCCCTGGCAGGGGCTGAACTGCTAGAAAATGAGATGATTTTGCTGTGTTCTGAGGC